TAAACACCCAAAAATAGTAAACACCCAGAAATAGTAAACCCCCAGAAGAATGCATCCGAATGGATGCGCGAGTCACTTTTCCTGACTCGCCAGTGGCGCCACCTACCGAGCAGGTGGTAGTTGGAGTCGCGTTCGTATTTGAAGGTCAGACGGCCGTAACTGACGTGGTTCAGATTCTTCAGCCACTCGAAGTAGGAGACGGTGACGCCCCCTGCATTCAGGTAGAGATCGGGAATGACAAGCACGTTGTTCTCAATGAAGTGCCGATCTGCCGCCGGCGTCACCGGACCGTTGGCGCCCTCTGCGATGATCTGAAACGGCGAGAAGGTGCGTGAAAAACGGAACTGGAGAACAATGAGATGGGGGTCCGCCATCGCTTTATAAGGGAGAAGGGGGGGGGGGGTTGTTAGTAGTGTAATGTACAGTAAAACATGTGTATAAGAGTCGCTTAAGGAAACGACTGTCCTCTATAGACAGTTGTTCGTTCTATAGAGATGGTTTCACTGTATAATCGTTACTCCAGGGAAATGACAAGTCTTTGTAGACAGGTGTCTATGCAATAAGGTTCCAGTAACGCAAGGTTTGACTATACGGTCAACTCTCCCAATACCTGACCACTCTGAGGACTGTCCATTTAGTTTTCTGTGAAGTTCGGTTGATAGAGCAGAAGTGCATCTTACATCTCTCAGATGTTGTTGGGACCTTGTCCGAAAACGTCGTCCGGTTTAACGTGAGATTCGGTTTTGACAGGGTTCGGGATTTGGAGTGTTTTGTTGTCTGTAGTTTGTGTCGATAGACTGTATTGTATCTTTTGAGCGTAGCAAGCCTCGCACAGTCAACTCCCTCTTAAGCTCGGTTTACACTACCGACTTTATGTTGTCAAATTGGCGAGTTGGACCAATTTCGCAATTCGGCAACAGAGAGTTGGGGAAAATGAAACATGTTCTAATCTCCCAACTAGTTGCTATTGACCAGTTGGTCGCGCGACTTTTGCGTTTACATTGTCGGTTGTATAGTTGCGAAATTGGTACAATTCGCCAATTCGACGACATAAAGTCGGTAGTGTACGTAACCCCAGCTTTACACGCGTGCGTCACCGACCTTCGCTTTGATCTTGTGAGCGTTGCCGCCATGGATCTGCTTCTCATTCGCCGCGGGAACGAGGATGTCACATTCCTCAAACAAGAGGCTATCCTTTGTGTATGGCTTCGCGCCGGAGAATCCGACGATGGTTCCGTTAGCCTGGGCAGGAAAAGAACACGCTCAATACACGCACGTACACAATAGTAGAGAAAATATAGAATAGAAAAAAAACCAGAAAAAATAGAAAAATATAGAAGAAAATATAGAAGAAAATAGTACAGAAGACAAATAAAAGAGTAGTATTTGCTTTTAAACCATTTTGTGGCAATCAGAAATTCCTAGCGATGCGTTTTCTTTTCTTTTTCCGGTTACTTTATTTTATACTGGACTCAAGGGTCTTTACGTCAAGCGTATGCTTAACTGAAAATCATCCCACATTATCCAAGTAAATTTTGCGAGAAGGAAAGTCTCCGCCAACATACAATTCGCAATGTTGACACACAGTGATTTTTTTTTTTAGTAATTCACCCAAATTCTTAAGCACTTCAACAACGTCACAAAATGCTGAAAACGAGGTTAAATCGATTAATTCGCGATATGCGGTTTTACGAAGCACCGCAACCCATGAGATCTTCCTATGTTTTTTCTCGCTACGGCGAGAGGGCCGAGAGTTGCGTGCTTACGATCTTCCAGTCCTCCAGCTCTCGTGGGTCGATGCCATCCGGGTTGTAGATGCTGCCGTCGTATTCCAGGATGCCGACGCATGTGGCGCCGTGTCTGTGTAGGTACCGCATTGAGTGCAGGCCGACGTTGCCGAAACCCTGCCGACCAGTGAAAAAAATACACGGGGGGCTCGGGGCGATTTAGCGCCCCGCCGAAATGCAAAAAGAGCCCCCGGAAATGCAAACAGAGCCGCGCCCCGTAATTTGCAGTCCCGAGTTTCCATGTCAAACGCAATTTTAGAGTGCTATTTTCATGGGGCATCGCGAGGTGAAAAGTAGCACCCCCTGAAAAAATCAAATTATATGTTTTTATCCCTGGCTGCGACACCCACACACACACACACACACAGCACCATAGAGAACTGTAATTCTTCTGAGACTGTATACGCTGTATATTTCGCGTGGTTAAATTTTTACCC